ATGCTTGTACAAGCACTGTAGGTGCCTGTACAAGCACTGTAGATGCCTGTACAAGCACTGTAGATGCTTGTACAAGCACTGTAGGTGCCTGTACAAGCACTGTAGATGCTTGTACAAGCACTGTAGGTGCTGTACAAGCACTGTAGATGCCTGTACAAGCACTGTAGATGCCTGTACAAGCACTGTAGATGCCTGTACAAGCACTGTAGATGCCTGTACAAGCACTGTAGATGCCTGTACAAGCACTGTAGATGCCTGTACGAGCACTGTAGATGCCTGTACAAGCACTGTAGATGCTTGTACAAGCACTGTAGATGCCTGTACAAGCACTGTAGATGCCTGTACAAGCACTGTAGATGCCTGTACAAGCACTGTAGATGCCTGTACAAGCACTGTAGATGCCTGTACAAGCACTGTAGATGCTTGTACAAGCACTGTAGATACTTGTACAGCACTGTAGATGCATGTACAAGCACTGTAGATGCCTGTACAGCACTGTAGATGCTGTACAAGCACTGTAGATGCTTGTACAAGCACTGTAGGATGAATGTACAAGAACTGTAGATGCTTATGCAAGCACTGTAGATGTTTGTGCAAGCACGGGTAGATGCATGTACAAGCACTGTAGATGCCTGTACAAGCACTGTAGATGCCTGTACAAGCACTGTAGATGCTTGTACAAGCACAGTAGATTGCTTGTACAAGCACTGTAGGATGAATGTACAAGCACTGTAGATGCTTATGCAAGCACTGTAGATGTTTGTGCAAGCACTGTAGGATGAATGTACAAGCACTGTAGATGCCTGTACAAGCACTGTAGGATGACTGTACAAGCACTGTAGATGCTTGTACAAGCACTGTAGGATGAATGTACAAGCACTGTAGATGCCTGTACAAGCACTGTAGGATGAATATACAAGCACTGTAGATGCTTGTACAAGCACTGTAGGATGATGTACAAGCACTGTAGATGCCTGTACAAGCACTGTAGGATGAATGTACAAGCACTGTAGATGCCTGTACAAGCACTGGAGGATGACTGTACAAACACTGTAGATGCTTGTACAAGCACTGTAGATGCTAGTACAAGCACTGTAGATGCTTGTACAAACACTGTAGATGCTTGTACAAGCACTGTAGATGCTTGTACAAGCACTGTAGGATGAATGTACAAGCACTGTAGGATGAATGTACAAGCACTGTAGATGCTTGTACAAGCACTGTAGGATGACTGTACAAGCACTGTAGATGCTTGTACAAGCACTGTAGGATAACTGTACAAGCACTGTAGATGCTTGTACAAGCACTGTAGGATGACTGTACAAGCACTGTAGGATGACTGTACAAGCACTGTAGATGCCTGTACAAGCACTGTAGATGCCTGTACAAGCACTGTAGATGCTTGTACAAGCACTGTAGATGCTTGTACAAGCACTGTAGATGCTTGTACAAGCACTGTAGATGCCTGTACAAGCACTGTAGATGCCTGTACAAGCACTGTAGGTGCCTGTACAAGCACTGTAGGATGAATGTACAAGCACTGTAGATGCTTGTACAAGCACTGTAGGATGCTTGTACAAGCACTGTAAGATAACTGTACAAGCACTGTAGATGCTTGTACAAGCACTGTAGATGCTTGTACAAGCACTGTAGGATGACTGTACAAGCACTGTAGATGCTTGTACAAGCACTGTAAGATAACTGTACAAGCACTGTAGATGCTTGTACAAGCACTGTAGGATGACTGTACAAGCACTGTAGGATGCTTGTACAAGCACTGTAAGATAACTGTACAAGCACTGTAGATGCTTGTACAAGCACTGTAGATGCTTGTACAAGCACTGTAGGATGACTGTACAAGCACTGTAGATGCTTGTGCAAGCACTGTAGATGTTTGTGCAAGCACTGTAGATGCTTGTACAAGCACTGTAGATGCTAGTACAAGCACTGTAGATGCTTGTACAAGCACTGTAGATGCTAGTACAAGCACCGTAGGATGACTGTACAAGCACTGTAGATGCTTATGCAAGCGCTGTAGATGTTTGTGCAAGCACTGTAGATGCTTGTACAAGCACTGTAGATGTTTGTGCAAGCACTGTAGATGTTTGTGCAAGCACTGTAGATGCTTGTACAAGCACTGTAGATGTTTGTGCAAGCACTGTAGATGCTTGTACAAGCACTGTAGGATGACTGTTCAAGCACTCTAGATGCTTGTGCAAGCACTGTAGATGTTTGTGCAAGCACTGTAGATGCTTGTACAAGCACTGTAGATGTTTGTGCAAGCACTGTAGATGCTTGTACAAGCACTGTAGATGTTTGTGCAAGCACTGTAGATGCTTGTACAAGCACTGTAGGATGACTGTACAAGCACTGTAGATGCTTGTACAAGCACTGTAGATGTTTGTACAAGCACTGTAGATGCTTGTACAAACACTGGAGGATGACTGTACAAACACTGTAGATGCTTGTACAAGCACTGTAGGATGAATGTACAAGCACTGTAGATGCTTGTACAAGCACTGTAGGATGAATGTACAAGCACTGTAGATGCTTGTACAAGCACTGTAGGATGAATGTACAAGCACTGTAGATGATTGTACAAGCACTGTAGGATGAATGTACAAGCACTGTAGATGCCTGTACAAGCACTGTAGGATGAATGTACAAGCACTGTAGATGCTTGTACAAGCACTGTAGATGCTTGTACAAGCACTGTAGATGCCTGTACAAGCACTGTAGGATGAATGTACAAGCACTGTAGATGCTTGTACAAGCACTGTAGATGCTTGTACAAGCACTGTAGGATGACTGTACAAGCACTGTAGATGCTTGTACAAGCACTGTAGATGCTTGTACAAGCACTGTAGGATGAATGTACAAGCACTGTAGATGCCTGTACAAGCACTGTAGATGCTTGTACAAGCACTGTAGGATGAATGTACAAGCACTGTAGATGCTTGTACAAGCACTGTAGATGCTTGTACAAGCACTGTAGGATGAATGTACAAGCACTGTAGATGCTTGTACAAGCACTGTAGATGCTTGTACAAGCACTGTATGATGAATGTACAAACACTGTAGGATGCTTGTACAAGCACTGTAGATGCCTGTACAAGCACTGTAGATGTCTGTACAAACACTGTAGATGCTTGTACAAGCACTGTAGATGCTTGTACAAGCACTGTAGATGCTAGTACAAGCACTGTAGATGCTTGTACAAGCACTGTAGATGCTTGTACAAGCACTGTAGGATGAATGTACAAGCACTGTAGGATGCTTGTACAAGCACTGTAGATGCTAGTACAAGCACTGTAGATGCTAGTACAAGCACTGAAGATGCTTTTACAAGCACTGTAGGATGACTGTACAAGCACTGTAGGATGACTGTACAAGCACTGTAGGATGAATGTACAAGCACTGTAGGATGACTATACAAGCACTGTAGGATGACTATACAAGCACTGTAGGATGACTATACAAGCACTGTAGGATGACTATACAAGCACTGTAGGATGACTATACAAGCACTGTAGGATGACTATACAAGCACTGTAGGATGACTATCAAGCACTGTGGGATGACTATACAAGCACTGTAGGATGACTATACAAGCACTGTAGGATGACTATACAAGCACTGTAGGATGACTATACAAGCACTGTAGGATGACTATACAAGCACTGTAGGATGACTATACAAGCACTGTAGGATGACTATACAAGCACTGTAGGATGACTATACAAGCACTGTAGGATGACTATACAAGCACTGTAGGATGACTATACAAGCACTGTAGATAATGTTACATACGCTGTAGACGGGAATGTGAGGTATTGTGGGAATGTGTGGGTATTGTTTGAATGTGTGGGTATTGTGGGAATGTGTGGGAATTGTGGGAATGTGTCGATATTGTGGGAATGTGAGGTACTGTGGGAATGTGTGGGTATTGTGTGAATTTGTGGGTATTCTGGAAATGTGTAGGTATTCTTGGAATGTGTGGGCAGTTTGTGAATGTGTGGGTATTGTGGGAATTTATGAGAGGTATTGTGGGAATGTGTGGGTATTGTGGAAATGCGTGGGAATTGTGGGAATGTGGTATTGTTTGAATGTGTGGGTATTGTGGATATTTATGAGGTATTGTGGGAATGTGTGGGTACTGAGGGAATTTATAGGAGGTATTGTGGGAATATGTGGATATTGTGGGAATGTGTGGGTATTGTGGGAATGTGTGGGTATTGTGGGAATGTGTGGGTATTGTGGGAATGTATAGATATTTGAGGAATGTGAGGTATTGCGGCAATCTGTGGGTATTCCGGGAATGTGTGGGTATTGTGGGAATGTGTAGGTATTGTGGGAATGTATAGGTATTGTGGGAATGTGAGATAATGTAGGAATGTATGGGTATTGTGGGAATTTATGGAAGGTATTGTGGGAAAGAAAACGGAGCGTAGGGTATCAAACATTGATGGGGAGTGGGTGGTCATGGGGGTGGGTGTCCCCCGAGGTGCGGGGGTGTGTGTACCCGCCCACACAAGTCACGTGACTGTGGTCAGGTATAAGGGCGCGGCAGTGTCGGCGTCCCGCGCCAGTGTACCTGCGACCAGCTGGCATTTAGTGCACCTCCAGCCATGGCACTGTTTACCACACCAGTGCGGCAGTAAGTAAGCACTGCGCTGCGCTGCTCAGACTGCCGCAGATAACTCTGCCCGCACCCCTGCGCGGGGGGACGGTAGATTTTGTAGTTGTGTAGAGGTAGAGTTAGGTTGAAGAAGCGCGGGTGTGACGACGCGCTGCGGCGTTCGGCTGCGCTCGGCTCCGCACACCAAATATGGTTATGATGGCGCGCAGCGGCGTGACGTAGTGGTCGACACACACCGCTCCTCCGAAACACCGCACGTGGCAAGCAAACACTTCGTAAAATCCCTTAACACCTTCTATTTCCTTCAACCATCCACTTCCCTGGGTCGGGGAGGACAGAATGCTGCGCCGCGGAAGCGCAGTACACGATTGCGCATTGAGCATTTCAATAACTCGCAACTTTATCGACTTCTAGCTGGGTGGAGTTGGTGGGGTTAGTAGGGGTGGTAGGGGGTGGAGTAGAGCGACCGTGACGTCACAGTGACGTAGCTTGCCGCGCGCTGATTGGCCCAGCCACCCGCACTGCTCCCATTCATAAAACTGGTGGGAGAAACGCGCGAGGGGCTCAGTGAGTATCGTGGCAGTGTAGGAAACGGAGGTGTTGCCGCGACGCTCGTCACCTTGGCTCCACTGGAAGACGCCTGGTCGCTTGGGGCTCACCGCTGCCTCTCGCGCCTGATACCCACAACCATATCAGGCCCGGGGTCGTCGCGCCCACAGCCGCCCCCCCAACACTCCCCTCACTCCAGTGAAGACGACCTTAACTTCTCAAACATGATTATGGACGGCATTGACCCGCTGTCAGCCGTGGCTATGGCTGAGTCCTCAACCATGTCGTTCAGTCTGGTGAGCTTTGAGACCTTCGACAAGGGCGGGGAGTGTCTACCCTCCCCGCTAGCCACGGCCTCTGTCTTTGACCGCCCCGTTGAGGACTGTCTTAACACCCCCGTCACTACCACAGAGATGCCCACATTCTTTGCCCAGGTCGAGGCTTTGACCGATCCATCACCGCCCCCCATAACAGGTAGGTCATGCCCCTCCCCCATCACTGTTGCGTCCTATAGGAATCATGCCTACCCCCCATGCCCCCCATCTCCCCTTACAGTGCCCCGCCCCTCTGCCCTTTATGCCCTGGTGGCCCGCCCCCCTGCCCGTCCAGTGCTCTCTGCTCTCTCGTCTGGGATACACCTACCCTTCTCCACCCCCCACTCAGTGACATCCTGCCCCCGTACCCTACAGTGACATAATGCCCTCGTACCCTACAGTGACATCCCACTCAGTGACATCCTGTCCCCGTGCCCTACAGTGACATCCTGCCCCGTCCTCTACTGTGATATCCCACTCAGTGATAACCCCGCCCAGTGACGTCCTACTCAGTGATGTCCTCAGCCACTGACTGAGAGGTGGGGAGTGATGCCCCAGTGTGACGTCGGTGAAGAACCCCAGTAATACCTCTCGCAAGTTGGACTCTAGCTCCTGATACACCTCTGCTGTGCTCTGTGATGCTTGCTCTCTGCCTCCGTCCAACGTTCACAGAGGAATGGTCAGTAATGCACCTCGTGTGTTGGTGACTGATCACTGGTGAACCTCGTGTGCAGGTGACTGATCACTGGTGAACCTCGTGTGCAGGTGACTGATCACTGGTGAACCTCGTGTATTGGTGAATGATCAATGAACCTCGTGTGTTGGTGAATATCAGTGGTGAACCTCGTGTGTTGGTGAATGATCAGTGAACCTCGTGTGTTGGTGAATGATCAGTGAACCTCGTGTGTTTGTGAATGATCAATGGTGAACCTCGTGTGTTGGTGAATGATAAGTGAACCTCATGTGTTGGTGAATGATCACTGGTGAACCTCGTGTGTTGGTGAATATCAGTGGTGAACCTCGTGTGTTGGTGAATGATCACTGGTGAACCTCGTGTATTGGTGAATGATCAATGAACCTCGTGTGTTGGTGAATGATCAGTGAACCTCGTGTGTTGGTGAATGATCAGTGAACCTCGTGTGTTGGTGAATGATCACTGGTAAACCTCGTGTGTTGGTGAATATCAGTGGTGAACCTCGTGTGTTGGTGAATGATCACTGGTGAACCTCGTGTGTTGGTGAATGATCAGTGAACCTTGTGTGTTGGTGACTGATCACTGGTGAACCTCGTGTGTTGGCGAATGATCAGTGAACCTCGTGTGTTGGTGAATATCAGTGGTGAACCTCGTGTGTTAGTGAATGATCAGTGAACCTCGTGTGTTGGTGAATGATCAGTGAACCTCGTGTGTTTGTGAATGATCAATGGTGAACCTCGTGTGTTGGTGAATGATAAGTGAACCTCGTGTGTTGGTGAATGATCACTGGTGAACCTCGTGTGTTGGTGAATGATCACTGGTGAACCTCGTGTTGGTGAATGATCAGTGAACCTCGTGTGTTGGTGAATGATCAGTGAACCTCGTGTGTTGGTGAATGATCACTGGTGAACCTCGTGTATTGGTGAATGATCAGTGAACCTCGTGTGTTGGTGAATGACAAGTGAACCTCGTGTGTTAGGGAATGGTCAGTGAAACTTGTGTGTTAGGGAATGGTCAGTGAACCTCGTGTGTTTGTGAATGATCAGTGAACCTCGTGTGTTGGTGAATGATCAGTGAACCTCGTGTGTTAGGGAATGGTCAGTGAACCTCGTCTGTTGGTGAATGATCAGTGAACCTCGTGTGTTAGGGAATGGTCAGTGAACCTCGTGTGTTAGGGAATGGTCAGTGAACCTCGTGTGTTAGGGAACGGTCAGTGAACCTCGTGTGTTAGGGAATGGTCAGTGAACCTCGTATGTTAGGGAATGGTCAGTGAACCTCGTGTGTTAGGGAATGGTCAGTGAACCTCGTGTGTTAGGGAATGGTCAGTGAACCTCGTGTGTTAGGGAATGGTCAGTGAACCTCGTGTGTTAGGGAATGGTCAGTGAACCTCGTGTCAGGGAATGGTCAGTGAACGTCGTGTGTTGGTGAATGGTCAGTAATTAACCTCGTGTTCTGGGGGAATCGTTACCAGTGAACCTTTTGTGTTGGGGAATGATCATGATCATGTTGGTAAATGGTCAGTGAACCTCGTGTGTTGGGAACCTGGACTTTGTAATGGAGAGACAAGCAAGGAAAAACGTAAACCTATCGTGGGGAAGAAGTGGAGCTTATTATCATGAGGTGCACCGGCACGTACTACCCAGCAGATGAATATTTCCAGTAAGTACTGGAGCTCCTTACGCAAGGTCTAACATTCCAGCAGGTACTGAAGTTCTTTACGCAAGGTCTAACATTCCAGCAGGTACTGAAGTTCTTTACGCAAGGTCTAACATTCCAGCAGGTACTGAAGTTCTTTACGCAAGGTCTAACATTCCAGCAGGTACTGAAGTTCTTTACGCAAGGTCTAACATTCCAGCAGGTACTGGAATGTTTTCTTGCACAGGGTGTGACATTCTTGTAGAACCAGAATTGCTGTAACGCATTCCTCCTCCCCTGGATGCCACCCACAGCAGTGGGTTAACACATAGGTACTTTTTTTTTTTTTTTAAGCAATGTGGGCAGGTGCAGATGGGGTGTGAGTTAACTTCCCCACATGCTTCTCCGTGCAGGGCACCTGTTATGGGAGCACCTGTTGTGGGGCACCTGTTGTGAGGGCACCTGTTATGGGAGCACTTGTTGTGGGGGCAAGAGAAGGCAGTAAGCTGGTATGTGTGCAGATAGGGCACGTTTGCCTTTCGTATGGGGAGAGAAACGTGAACTTACTGTGGGAGAAGAACGTGAACCTACTGTGGGAGAGGAACGTGGACCTATTGTGTGGGAGATGAGGAACGCCCCTCACCCTTCCATGAAATCAACCCCCCCCTCCCATAGAACACTGTAACGCACTCTTGTGTACTGAACACACAATAAGCTTCTTTTCAGTGGTAGGTTGTGACTTTTGAAGAGGGAGGGGGAAACAGGTGCCGTGAACAGGTAGCAGGTGTTTCTTCAATGGGAGGAAGAGCGGGAGGGAGGAAGGGGAGACGGAGGCAAACAGGTGTGTTCACCCCTCTGAACCAAGGACACTGGCATGTGCTTTATCGTCAGTTATCAACGTTATCGTCTACGTTCCGGTCGGGGAAGATTAGGGTATCACTTGCAGGAAGTTGTCATTGTTGTTATCTCTGGGAGTTTGTGCTGAACGGAAGGAAGGTGTGTGTGTGTGTGTGTGTGTGTGTGTGTGTGTGTGTGTGTGTCATAATACCACAGGTTGCACATGCTGCCACACACAAACATATTTAGTGTCACTATAGACTACATACACAGGCGGTATCAATGGTCCACCTCATAAGCACTAGCCAGCCTTCCCTCCCCCCACAAGTGCCACACTTACCTCGCATATCAATGGCACTCATCATCTAGAGGCACTGGTGCCCCCGTGAGAGGCAGCAAGGAGGGGAGGGGTGAGAGCTGAGGAACAGGATAAGAGCATCGTTGGTGTTCACACAGCAGTAACGTTACTATTTTAGTCTAGTGATTAGCGTGCAGGTGTGGGGCCACAGGGCGGCCGCGCTGCCAGAAGAGTGCCACTCCTGGCATTTCTATCGGAGGAAGGTGCCAAAGAATGCGATGCCGTGTCTAATTCAAGCCTTAGAGGGACTAAATTTAGTGGTGTTATGTCATTGTGTTCCCTGGGTGTGTTGGCATGGCTCCCGGCGCCCGCTGCTTGCCCACCTGCTGCCCAGCTGGGCATTGCCCAACACGGTGAACCTTAGCTTGTTCCTGGCCTTGCCACTGAACCATTTTACTTCCTCTGCATGTTTTCGTCCGCTGTGGCGACCTGTTGTACTAGTCAGTGGACAGTTTTGAAGAGTTACCCCTGACCTGAACTTGCCTCTTCTAACCCACTTTCTGTCTTGTCTTTAAATACTCACATATTCAAACCTCTTTCACACTTTACAGTCTTAAAAAACCTCGCTAAATCCACAAACCAATGACACACCTATGGATAACAAACAAGGCTAGCTTAGCTTACGAACACATCACTAAGCAAATACATCTCTACCACGTCACCTTTAGGTGCTGAGACGCTGCTGGTCCGGTCCAGCCACGAAAAACAGGTAATAAGGTTAAAAAATGCATTATGTAGGGGTGCTGAGGTGTATGGGGAAGTGGTCAGGGCCTAGGAGGCTCGTAGCGGGTTGGACTACGATGACGTCACGTGACGTAGCCCAATGATGTCATTTTTGAGGCAGCGGTGAGGCGACACCTGGCAACCCCTGTCACCAATTGTTGCCACAGTAACAAGAATCTTATTTGTGCTTGCCAGCTCAATGTTATTTCTGTGTGTATACACTCAACATGTGTATACCACTGAGTGTGCATAAACAGGTGTATATCTGTATAAACAGAGGTATATACATCTATATACACAATATATATATATATATATATATATATATATATATATATATATATATTATATATATATATATATATATATATATATATATATATATATAATATATATAAAATGTCGTGCCGAATAGGCAAAACTGATCAATTAGCAAGAACTCATTTAAAATTAAATCCTTTTTAAAATTTTCTATTATACGTTTAAAGATATATTTTTTTTTTCATTTAAGTTAATGTAAAAAATAATAATTTTGTAACAAAAGCACCTTAGAAAACTTACCTGACCGTATTATAACAAGCGCAATTTAATTTAGCGTAATCCAACTAAATATATTTTACATAAGTATACAATAATTTAATAATAAACAGACACAATAGAATATATTTCTTTCGTTAGGTTCAGAATTATTTTTGGGAAATTATAGCATACACAAATTTTCGCTTGTCTTATTCGGCAAGAAGAGCGTTGTTATTTAAGCCAAAATCGCAAGCTTAACCTATTCGGCACGACTATATATATATATATATATATATATATATATATATATATATATATTATATATATATATATATATTATATATATATATATGTCATGTATGAGTTTAGCTCTTAACACATGGGTGGCATCCTG